CTTGCCTTTCTGAGCGAGTGGTCTTGGGAAACCCATTTCCCCTCATGGAGCCTCGGTTGTTCATCTGTGAAACAGGAGGGATAACGATACCCTCTGTCCTTGGGATCTGAGAAATGGGAGATGGTAGTTAGAAGCCCTCCAACTGGGCCTTGGGGACAAAGCTTCAGCTGCGAGCCTCAGCCAGGAGCCTTTAGCTCCTTGTCTATAAAATGGGCTGAAAGCAGAGCCTTCTCTGGGGGTTGCTGTGAGGACGCTCTGGGGCGTGCAGGTGCTGGTGTGTCTGATGCCCCCATGTGCCCGCAGGGGGGCAAGGAGTACCTGATGCGCGCCCACTTTGGCCTCCCCAGCGTGGAGAAGGAGGAGGTGGAGGGCCGGCCTCCCATCGGGGTCAAGTTTGAGATCCCCTACTTCACCGTCTCTGGGATCCAGGTGAGGAAGGGGGCAGGGAGGCTCCCCTCCTTGACCCTAGCAGGTTCCTTCTTTCCTATCACTGGGCCTGAGTCACTTCTCTGTTCCCTGGCCTGCGTCCCACCTCTCCTCTTCAGTCTTCCTTGCTTTCCCCGGACAGTGTTGCCACTTCAGTTCTCATCCTGGTCCCTCTCCCTGCACCTCCCACTTTGGCCTGTGCCACCTCATTCCCTGCCAGCTTGTTCACCTCTCCCTACTCCGTCCGCGAGCCGTTCACCAACATTCCCTTCGCCTGTGCCACCTCCTGCTCCCCAAGTCATGTCCTGTCTATTCCCTGGTACTGTGCACCTCTTTCTCTATCCAGACCCACCTTTCCTCCCACGCACTGCCTATGCTACCCCTTTCCCCAAGCCATGTCACCCTTGTTATTCCAAGCCTGTGCCATCTTATTCCCCCAAAATATGTCACATATATTCCTCTGACCCCAGCCACCTCACTCCCCCCAGCCTGGACCACCTCATTCCCCTCAGCCTGGGCCACTCCTCCCCCCAGCCTGGGCCACCTCTCTATTCATCCCCTTCCAGGTCCGATACATGAAGATCATTGAGAAAAGCGGTTACCAGGCCCTGCCCTGGGTTCGCTACATCACCCAGAGTGGCGGTAAGGCAGCCCAGCTCCCTGGGACAGGGTCAGGGACGGGGGGAGATGAGGCCTCAGGGTTTTAACTACATTCTGGCTCCAAAACTCAACAGGCATAGACCCAGGCCAGCCCCTTTGTCACTGTGCCACACTGAGTCTTGGTTTGCCCTTTATTTTTTATCATTTATCTTTTTTAAAAAAAATTATATTTTTGGTGAAAGTTTATACAGCAAGTTAGGTTCCCATTTGACAATTTCTACACAAATTGTTCAGTGACGCTACTTACATTTTTTACGTGTCAACATTCTCTTTAATTGCATTCTGGTTGTTCCCTTTCTAGTATTCTAGTTTCCCTGCCCCCTTATCTTCTCATCTTTGCTTTAAAGTAATTGTTGACCTTTTGGTCTCAAATAGATGGCTTTGTAATAGAGCACCGTACTCATGGGTAATATCATTTATTTTGGCCTATCTTTAAAATGGAGGTAGTTGTCAGCTGTAGGGTAGTCTTGGGGTTTGGAAGAGGGGCTGGACATGCAGCACCCCATCTGCTGCCTGGCAAGAGACCTGTTGATATGGTTACTGGCCCTGCGTTAACCTCATCCTTAGCCTTGTTTCAACCCCTGGGGTTAATCATGAGCACTGGGGCAGGGGATGGATTTGGGGGGCTGTCTCTCTGTCCCTTCCCCCAATTTGGAGATTACCCCTGCCCGTTATTTCCCTGCAGATTATCAACTTCGTACCAGCTAGAAGGTAGAAGAGATGGGGGCTTGGACACGTGAGAGTGTGGGACCTCTGTCTCCCCAGGCCCCAGCCACAGATTCTGGAGGGGATGAGGGCAGGTCCCTGAACTGCCAGTTTCTTTCTCCCAGCTCGCAGCATTGGGACCCCTGCTCGCCTTTTTCTCTACCCACGGGCTGGAAAAGATGGTCTCCCTGCCTCCCTCTTCCTTGGGGCTTCCCTCTGATTTTATATGAAGAAATAGGGGAGGGGCTTGAGGCCCCCTCACAAGTGCCTTCTCGCAGTGACCTGCCTTAGGGGGTGTCAGGTCCCCTCCTCCAACAGCTGCTGAGCCTAGAGGCCCCACTGCCCATTCCTCTGAGTTTTAGGATGTCATTAAAAAGATGAGTCTAGCCACTATGTATGTGCTTGCTTAGCTGTGTGTGTGTGCCCCTGGGGTGCTGGGATGAGAGTGAGCAGCTCATGTCCCTCCTTAGCGCCCATCATTGCTTACCTGGGCCGTGGCAGTCACCTCTGCCCTGGTCCCCTATTCCCATCTTTGCTGACCCCCACAATCTGTTCTCCCCACCCCCCAGCCACCAGAGGGCGCTTGTTAACGCCTAAATCAGCTCATGCGCCTCTGCTCAGAAACCTCCTAAGGTTCCCAACTTAACAGTAAAAGCCAAGTCCTCACTGCAGCCCGCAAGTCTTGGTCTGACCCTTTGCTTCCCTGCCTCCTTGCTCTTTTTTTTTTTTTAACTTTAAAAAAATAATTATTTTGTTTTTGTTGTTGTTGTTGTGTTGAGAATATACACAGCAAAACATACACAAATCCAACAGTTTCTGACCCAATAGAAATAAAGAGAATTATGACAGAATATTATGAACAACTGTATGGTAACAAACTGGGTAACCTAGGCGGGGCGAATTACCCAATAAGCAAGGTAAGCACAGCATTACCTGTGCATATTTACTAGTCTGTTGTGAACAATTTCACATGGTTTTCCACCACATTTTTAATAATCCATCCACGTAAATTTGAAAAGAGGCTTTGAATCTATAGGAACATGCTGTGGGGTTGGGAGAGAAACAGATGCCAGCCATACCTAGAAGCAGAATCTTTGATGAGTTGAAAAAAGTGAAATTGTTCACTACAGATTAGTAAACACAAGTAAGCCCATGCTTACCTTGCTTATTGGGTAATCCATCCCTGAACCTAGATGAAATGGACAAATTCTTAGAAGTACACAACTTACCCAAACTGACTCAAGAGGAAATAGAAAGTCTCAACAGACCCATAACAAGTGAAGAGATTGAATCAGTGATCAAAAACCTCCCAACAAGAAACATCCTGACAAACATTTAGAGAATTGACACCAATACTGTTTAAACTTTTCCAGAAGACAGAAGGCTTAGGGAACATCTAGCTCAATTGGCATAATACAGTTTATAAAGAAAATGTTCTACATTTATGTTGGTGAGTAGCGTCTGGGGTCTTAAAAGCTTCTGAGCAGCCGTCTAAGATACTCCACTGGTCTCACCCCTTCGAGAGCAAGGGAGAATGAAGAAAACAAGATACAAGGGAAAGATTAGTCCAAAGGACTAATGGACCACAACTACCATGGCCTCCATCAGACTGCGTCCAGTACGACTAGATGGTGCCCGGCTGCCACCACTGACTGCTCTGACAGGGATCACAACAAGGGTCCTAGACAGAGCTGGAGAAAAATGTAGAACAAAATTCTAACTCTCAAAAACAGACCAGACTTACTGGCCTTATAGAGACTGGAGAAACTCCGAGAGTATGCCCCTGGACACCCTTTTAGCTCAGTAGTGAAGTCACTCTCTAAGCTCACCATTCAGCCGGGGATTGGACAGCCTCATAAAACAAAATGGGACTGATGAGGCACAGCAGTCCAGGGACAAGGATTAGTAGGCAGAAGGGGACAGGAAAGCTGGTAATAGGGAACCCGAGGTTGAGAAGGGATAGTGTTGACATGTTGTGGGGTTGTTAACCATTGTCATAAAAGAATATGTGTACTAACTCTTTAATGAGAAACTATTTGTTCTGTAAACCTTCACCTAAAGTACAATAAAAAATAAATTTAAAAAATGGAACAAGGAAAACAGAGAAGGAAGGAATACTCCCTAATTCATTCTATGAAGCAAACATAACCCTCAAATCCAAATAGACAAAGACACAACATGCAAAGAAAACTACAGGCCAATGTCCCCCTTGCTCATTCTGTTCCAGGTGCTGGATATACCGGGTGTGCTTTAGCCTCGGGGTCCATGGGGTAGTTCCCTTTGCCTGGCATGCTTTCCTCAGATATACATGGCTCCCTTTCCACCTGCCTGACCTCTGCATTTCAACGGCCTTCTGTTCCCAAGGAGCTATCATTTATCCTCTTTTATCAGCTATATACCGTTCACACCCTGAAAAGATTTAATTTTGTCTTCTCCCGCCCTAGACTGAAGGCCCTGGAGGGCGCCTAGTACATAGTAAGTGAGCAGTAAATCTTTGAATGGAGGCTTCTGTAGCGGCCTTTGGCCACGGCTTTCCTTCTAGGCTCGCGGGCTCCTAAATCCAGAACGTGATTCCTTCCTCACCCACCTCATTTCCCCGTTTCACTTTTGTCACGGTGCTCGACGCTACCTAAAATTCTGAATTTCATTGTGTGCGCTCTCCAGCGCCCTAAACAGTTCCTGGGCTGTGCACAGTGGGGAATGAATGAAATAGTTCTCAGCATAGTAAGGGTTAATAAATGCTTATCGCGTGACCGAAAGGTGGAATCCCGGACTAGGCGACCCCAACCCTGCCTCCCTTCCCCCCGCCCAGGTGCCGAGGTCCCGACGCAGCCTGCGCTACCTTGCCCCTGACCTTTCTCCCCTGGGTCAGTTAAACCGGCCCTCTTTCCCGCCCGCCCGGCGCGTTTGAAAACCGAAAACCCCGCCATTGCCAGCGGCCCACTGGTCGCCGCGCCCGGGCCAATCAGAAGCGACACCGCCCACACTAGCACTCGAAAACACCCCGGCGACGCACGACCATTGGCTGCGAGGGCTTCGTGGGCGGGGCGCCGCTGGGTCGGGCGCCGGGCAGCGCTGCCCGGCTACAAACTAACGAGTTCGTAAAAAAACAAAACGCCAGCGTCCGGGGGCGGGGCCGCGAGCGCGGTGACTCCGCCCCCCGGGGGCCGGCTCGGCGGCGACGGCGGCGCCGGCTCAGAGGAGACCCCGCCCGTGGAGGAGGAGGAGGGTGGGTGAATTGGGGGGAGACCCGGCCCCCAAGGGGCGGGCGTCGGGCAGAGTCCCGTGGGCCGCGGAGGGTTGGGCCGGGTTCCTAGCCCCTCGCCGCCAGCGAGCTGACAGGGGGAGGAGCCGCGCGGGAGAGCGGGGGTCGCGCCGGGAGCATCGCGCAAGCCGAGTGCGCGGCGGCCAGGCCCTGGGAGGGCTGCTTGGCCGGCGCCCGCGGCCTCTTCCGAGCTGACCGGCTGCTGTGGGGCGGGGGGCTTCGCAGGCCGCCAGTGTTGACATGCTGCTGGAGGAGGTCCGTGCCGGCGACCGGCTAAGCGGGGCCGCGGCCCGGGGCGACGTGCAGGAGGTGCGCCGCCTTCTGCACCGCGAGCTGATACACCCTGACGCCCTGAACCGCTTTGGCAAGACGGCGCTGCAGGTGAGGCCAGGCGGGCCCGGAGCGGGGCGGGGGGAGCGGGGCGAGGACGCGGACCCCAGACCCCGACCCTCGTCTCCTGGACCTGGAGGGGACCGACTGGGGGCTTTTCCTCCTCCACTGGGCTGACGCTGCTCTCTGAGGTCCCCTTTCGTGGGAAAGGAGGGTTAGGTTGGGGGGAGGGGGAGGGGGAGGGTTTTCCATCTTCTCTGGAGGATTCCTTGTTCCCTGGGTGAGCGGGATTCACTTTCCATGAGGAGGTCCTTTTTCCGTGGGGGTTCAACATCTTTGGATCACGGTTTCATGGCGACGGCTCTGGTTTTTGGGGCTCCTCAATCTTTCGGGGAGGTGATCTCTAGAAGGAGGGTTTCATGTTTCCAGGGCATCCTCATTTTCTGGGGGGAGGGGGAAGTTCTCTGAGAGGTATCCGGTTACTTGGACGGTCTCTATTCCTATGGGGTTCTTATCCGGTTACTTGGGGGAGCCCCACTCTTGGGGGGGGTTGCAGATTCCTCCAATAGGGGAATGGTTTCAGATTGTCCCCCTATTCTCTGGGGGGACATTTTATGGGAGATTCAATTTTCTTGAGGTAATCTGGAGAGCATCCTCACTATATTGCGGGGGAATATTCCCTGGAGAAGGTAATTCAAATTACCTGGACATCCCCTTTCCCTTGAGGGGGCTGTCAGGTTCTTTGAGGACCCATTTCTGGAAGAGGTTTCATATTTCCGGGTACTGTCCTATTTCGGGGGTGGGGTGGGGTGGGGTGATGGTGGTGGTCTCTGGTTCCTTGGGAAGAGGCTTAGGTTCCCTGAAAGTTGCCATACCGGTTATTCCCTAGAAGGCTCTCATTTTATCCTTAGGGCAGTGCCTAGCTTCTTGGGGTCCCTCTTCCCAGGAGGACTTGTTCTCTGGGATCTCAAAGAGCTTCCCCTAGGGACTGTGTTCCCTGGAGTTTTCCTTTTTCCTAGAGACTCCTTTGAAACAGGACTCCTTCCTGTTCCTGGAAGACCCTTCTCTCTCCTGGGACCCCCTTTCCTGGGTCCCCTTCCTTGGGAGAACCCCTCACCCTCTGCCCCCACACAGGTCATGATGTTTGGCAGCCCCACCATCGCCCTGGAGCTGCTGAAGCAAGGTGCCAGCCCCAACGTCCAGGACATCTCTGGCACCACACCGGCCCACGATGCAGCTCGCACTGGATTCCTGGACACTCTGAAAGTCTTGGTGGAACATGGTGCCGATGTCAACATACCTGATGGCACTGGGGCTCTTCCCATCCATCTGGCAGTGCGGGAGGGCCACACTGCGGTGGTCAGCTTCCTGGCTGCTGAGTCTGATCTCCAACACCGGGACGCCAGGGGGCTCACGCCCCTGGAGCTGGCGCAGCAGAGAGGGAATCGGGACCTCATGGACATACTGCAGGGGCACACAGTGGCCTCGCTGTGACCAGGATCCAGCTGGGCGCATCTCTGAGGGAGGGAAGACACTTTCTCCTCTCCTACTGCCCAGTGCTGAGGGGGAGGGGCGCCAGTTTGTGGCTTGTTGGTGTTGATTTCTGGGGGTGTGTGTCTTCGGGGGGCGTTTCTCGTTTGTTTTTCTCACCCCTTTTGGTGTGTTGGAAAGAGAGGGGCTCCTGCATGCAACAGCCACCTAAACGGTTCGGTTTCCTCCGCGGCCCAGGCTGCTGGGGCTGCAGACTAGGCCTGGGCAGAGTTAAAGCCCCAGCCCTGAAGCGAGGTCATCGGGTCATCACTCCGAAGTCTCCTGGTACCTGGCGACCTCGGCCAACTGCGCCCAGAGACCTGAAGGGTGCGCACTGCTTTGGGCATGGGGTGGGGGCAGTGTTCCAAACCTATAAAGGGGTGGCATGAATTCATTTATATTTTGTTGAAAGCCTGTTTTCCAGTCTCTTGTACAGTGTTGGAAAAAATAGATTCTATTTATTAAGCATTATGGAAAAAATTGTTGCGTGTGATAATTTAATGTTTTTATCCATTAAATTAAGACTTGAGTATGACCACAGCGCGAGTGGCTTCGATTTCGGTCTGGGTTGGGGATGTTTGTGGGGGTGGGCATGGTGACTCGCGGAGCGCAGATGCGGTGGGGGAGGGGAGAGAGCGGTAATTCCCAGGGCTGCAGGGGTGAGTGAACTGGGTGGGGCAGCGGTTTGCGCTGTCGGAACGGAAGGGAGGCAGGAAACCGCGAGTGGAGAAAGGGCCCCCAGAAGTCAGCTGGGTGTCCGGAGCCCCGGCTGGGGGGAATGGGCGGTGGCCGCGGATCTTCCTCGCAGGGGCGTGACCCGTGGGCGGGGACTTCGTCTCGGGGCGGACAGGATCCCGGAATGATAGGGGGAGGGGTCAGGTCGGCTCTGCCCTCTTAAAACGCACGGTGGGCGCGGCCGGACGTGGACCTGCCCCTTCAAGGCCCCGGCGTCGCGCGTGCGCAGTGGACCACAGAGCCGCCATGCCGGAGCCTCGCGGGTCATCGCCGCTGCGGGTGAACGCGGCGTTTGCCGCGAGGTACAGTCGCTACCGGGAGCGCGAGGAGCTGCAGCGGCGTGAGTGCGGGGCGCTTGCGCGCGGAGCGCCGGCGCGTGTAGGGCCGTCGGGCTGTGTGTGTGTGTGTGTGGGGGGGGTGTTGGGGAGTGTTGATCTGGTCCACAGGGACTGACCTGCGGAGATCCGGTCTGTGCCCTGCAGTGAAGGATCGCTACGGGGACCGGGACAGCGGCGGCGACTCTAGCTCCGAGTCCGACTCCAGCGACGAGCTCGTGGTGAGCCTCCAGCTTCCATCCCAGTCGTGCAGGAGGCGTACAACCCCTACCACACCCGGATTCGTCGCCGATGTGTTAGGATGTGCTAGGGCCGTCCAATCCCCCACCGTATCCGGACCCCACCCACCCCCAATTCCATGAGGGGCAGACAGCTCCCTCCCCATCCCCAGGTGGTGCCCAACTACCCTCTACCCTTCCTCCCCAACATGGATCCACCTGCCTACCCTGGTGTGTGGGGCGCCACCCTCCTATCTCCTAGGATCCCCCTTCTGGTCCTCACCCCCAAGAGTCTCCTCTGTTTCTCAGTGTCCGACTCTGTTCACTAAGTGGGGCACCCCTCTGCCCCGTGGGGCACCCAGCTTCTCCCCACATCAGCCCCGATCTTCTTCCTGGCCTCACTGAGCCGCACCCCCCTCCCCACCACCGCCATGCGCCATCTCTGCCCACCTGCCCTGTTGTCAATCCCTCCTCTTTCCTAGGAAGTACCCTCCCATCTGCTGCTTACTGCTCCCATCACCAGCTCCCACCAGGACTCTCACCATTTCTCTTCTGAAGTCTGTCTTCTGCCCTTTTTCCTGCCTTAGGAATTCGACCCCCAGCAGGAGCGGGACTTCTACAGGACTCTCTCCTTGTTGAAGAAGAAGGACCCTTGCATTTATCAGAAGGATGCTACCTTCTACCAGAAAACAGGTCTTCATCACCTTATAAATGGTTGTGACTACTTAATGAATCACTTCAAGTCAAAAGTGCTTAGCAGAGCATTTTAGATTGCTAGCTGCTGTTAATGACGACAGCAGCTAACATTCAGCACTTACTATGTGTTAGGAGCTGTTCAAAGTGTAAATTAGTTGTTGAATGACCACAACCCCATGAGGTAGCAGCAGTTGCGGTGCCTGTTTTACACCTGGGAATCTGTGGGTTTGTTCAACCACTGTTTGACCCTGGCCCTGCCCTGTGGGATCCTCTACTGGGGAACGAAGGGGGTTGTGGGTGATGGCAGGTATTTTTGGGGGGCCCACAGCATCATCCTCGGAGAGTGAGGAGGAGTCAGCAGCTGCAGAGAAGCAGAAGAAGGTGCGGCCCATGTACCTGAAGGACTACGAGAGGAAGGTTATCTTGGAGAAAGAAGGGTGAGAAAAAATACTGACATGCCTGCCTTCCCAGGGCAGATGTACACACAGGGGCCTTAGGCGAAGCCCCCCCCAAATTTAGGAGGTCCCTAAGAGCAAGATCCTCAGTGATCCGTCCACACCTGTGTTGGTCCCCTAACTGCTTGTAACAGCTTCCCACCCCCTGGGACAGATGGGCCATGAAGAGTATATTCTGAAGCCCCCACCCCTCTCTGCACAGCAAATACGTCGACGAGGAGAACTCAGATGGGGAAGCCTCTGATCAGAGACGTCAGGTAGGTGGGGTAGAGGCCGGGCAGGGGGTGCTGCAGGGCCCGGGGCCAGGGCTGAAGCTCACGTCACTGTCTCTGCTGCAGCAAACTTTGTCCCAAAGTTACGTGGAGGAACAGAAACAGCTTAAGGAAAGGTGAGCCTGGGCTAGGTAAGGGGGCCAAGCGAGTAAGAGTTGAAGCTCGGGGGTTGGATGGATCTGGGTTCAGATCCCCCTCTGCCAGTTACCAGCTAGGTGACTTGTTCTCTTTGTGCTTTGGTTTTCTCATCTATCAGATAGGGTTAATAATCTCTCTCTGTCATAGCACCACTACGAGCCTGTCATGAGGTTAGCTCAGGGCTTAGTAAAAGGAGTTGTTCTGGGGCAGTGGGCGGGGTCCAGTCTGCCTGTCCTGAGGGGCATTGCCTTTTGTGGACAGCTTCCGGACGTTTATGGAGGACAGTGAGGATGAGGACAGCACTAGGGACAGCGGCTCCGGGTTGCTGCAGAAACGTGCTAAAACCAGGGAGGAGAAGGTGGGTGCTGGGACCAGACCGGGGCTGAGTGGGGGCTGGGGCTCGGGCAGACCCTTAGCGCTGGCCTTCCCTTAGGCCCAGGAGGAGGCTGACTATGTTGAGTGGCTGAAGGGGCAGAAGGAGATTGAGAACCCTGAGACCCTGCAAGAACTGGTGAGTTCTTATGCCCAGTCAGTGACAGACTGAACAGCCTGTTCCACCTCCTTTCCATCACCAGTCCACTGCCAACCATTGTCTGGAAACCAGCCCTCGAAGGGGTGGCCAAGAGCACATACTCTGATGCCCAGATTCCTGAGTCAACCCTAGTTGGGTGGGCCCATCTCTGGATCTGAGTTTCTACACCTATAAAATGGGGGTAATCCCACCTATTTCATAGGCTGGCTATGACGATTCAGTTACCTAAATCTCCTTAGTGCCCATGCCTGCCCTCTTTCCCTGCTCCCCCAGGGGCAGGGACGACGTGGCCTCACGCCCCAACCTGGGTCCTACATCCTCCACCCCTAGACCCACCTCAAGGACTATTGGAACAACCCTGAGCTGGACGCAGGGGAGCGATTCCTGCGGGATTATATCCTCAACAAACGCTACGAGGAGGAGGGAGATGAGGAGGAGGAGGAACGGTGAGCCCCCGTGTTTTCTCAGGGCCTGAGGGCCTGAAAAGAATTTCATGTGTAGATTTGTGAATAAGTAATTCATAAATACAGTTAAAAAACCAAAAAGTTCAAAAGGGTGGACAGCCCAAGCCATCTCCCTCCCAGTCTGATCCCGGCCCCTCCCCAGGGGTGTCCCACAGAGTCCTGGATCTTTAGTCCCCGTCCTAAGATAGGCCCAGCAAGTGCAAGCCAGAAGAACAAGAGCAACGTGAGTTCATTGTTTCACACAGATGGTAGCAGAGGAAGCCTCTTGAGGGAGAACTATGGAGTGTAGCCCCTAGAGTCAGGTGGTACTAGTTCAAATCTTGGCCCTGCTGTTGGATACCCATGCCTCAGTTTCCCTATCTGTAAAATGGGGATGCTAATTCCCTCCCCACACCACCCGCCAGTAGGGTTCTTGTGAGGATAAATGAGTTAATCCCTGTGAAGCATTTGGAACAATGTCTGATATACAGGAGTGCAGCAGTGGGCAGCCCCACCTAGCTTGGCTGACCCCCAGCCCTCCCCCAGCTCATCCCTCAGGACCCCTGGCCCCCTGGTACAGCTGGCCGTGGACGACTCTTCGGATGAGGGCGAGCTGTTTCTGAAGAAGCAGGAGGACTTTGAGCACAAGTACAACTTCCGCTTTGAGGAGCCGGACTCAGCCACGGTGCGTGGCCCAGGCTGGGGTGGGGGAGGACCTGGCACGTGAGGTCCAGGCCTGAGAACCTGGCAATTATCTCTGTTCTGGGCCCTTCTGCTGCCCACAGGTCAAGACCTACCCACGTAGCATCGCGTCCTCCGTGCGCCGCAAGGATGAGCGCAGGAAGGAGAAGAGGGAAGAGATACGGCAGCGAAAGAGCAGGGTGAGTATGGAGGTGCCAGGCTGAGGAGGGCCACCCCACCGGCCAGGAAAGCCCACGCCCGCCCTGTGCCCCCCACCTGCTGCCTGCAGGAGAAAGCTAAGAAACAGGAGGAGCTCAAACAGCTGAAAAACCTGAAGAGGAAGGAGATTCTGGCCAAGCTGGAGAAGCTGCGGCAGGTCACAGGCAACGAGACGCTGGGCTTAGAGGAGCAGGACCTTGAGGATGACTTCGACCCTGCCCAGCACGACCAGCTCATGCAGGTGCAGCCCCCACGCCCTGGCTCAGCTACACAGCGAGTTCTTGGGAATGGCTCTGGAATCGAGTATTGTTTCCAGACTGTGATCTCAGAGAAGTGGCTTGACCTCTCTGAGCCGGTCGTCCTGTCTGTAAAGTGGGTCTAAGCATAGCATCTACCTTGGGGCTGTGGTAAGCAGATTGGAGTGAACACACATAAAAGTTTAAGTGGTGAGTGCTTGAGGAACAGCAGGTTGTTGTGTCTCCTTTAAACTCATTTTTTGATCTGTTAACATTTATTGTTGTAGTTAGGGGAACACATCATCAGGCCATGAAAACCCAAGGTGATGAGGGCTGTGATGGAGAAGCAGTAGGGACAGTGGGAGCCCAAAAGAGGCGCCAGACCAAGCCTGGGAGGTTGGGGAAGGACACTGGAGGATGTGTAGACAGACGTTCCAGGTGAAAACTGGAATGGGTTGGTGCTGTGTAGGTGGGAGTTCAGCCTTCACTTTCTAGGAGCTTCTTGCTCTGAGCTTTGGTTTCTTAACAGAATAGTTCTTGCCTCTTGGGGTGGTTGTAAAAACGCAGGGAGATGCAGCTCAGGCTTGGGCATATAGTAGGTGCTTAATAAATGACTTGATTAGCAATGTCTGTCTGCTAGGCCCCCACTGGCTGCTGGGGGTCCAGCAGGGGCCCTGGCACAGCCTCAAAAGTGGCAAGAACTGGTGTAACATTCATTGAGCACCTACTGTTTCCCAAGCTCCATGTAGCACAGCAGTCCCTGCCCTTCCAGCACTCACAGCGACAGGCATGTAACTATACAGTTAAAACCAGGGGAGTGACGTGCAGGGAGAGGCGGCATCTTAGAGGAGTCCCCTGACTGGGCATTGTCGGGGTGATGGAGAAGGGGTGAAGACAGGCATGGGAGGAAAGGACAGGCAGCAAAGAGAAGAGCGGAGGCCTGAGTAGCAATTCGCCAGTCAGAGAGAGGATGTGTGCACCGGGCGGGGGAACCGTGGGGGCAAGGGCCTGCAGGGAGGGAAAGAACCGTGGGTCTGTGGAACCAGTGGTGGCCAGCATAGCAGAGGGTGGAGAGCAGAGGGCACGTGTGATAAGATGAGCCCAAGAAGGGTGGTGACTAAGTCCTGAGGATGCTGGGGAGCCCCAGAATGTGCAGAAGTAAAGCTGTCTGCGGAGGACATTGGCATTGTGGGGGGTGGGGCTGGGCCCAAAGGCCTTGCTGAGCTTCTCTGCCCCCCGACCCTGCAGAAATGCTTTGGGGACGAGTACTACGGCACCATGGAGGAAGAGAAGCCGCAATTTGAGAAAGAGGAAGGGCTTGAAGGTAAGAGCAGCGGGGCACTGGGTGATGGGGGGCACTGGGCCTAAAGCCTGAGGTCTTGCCCTGACCCCGCCTGACTGTCCTCTCTGGGACCAGATGACTGGAACTGGGACACGTGGGATGGGCCAGAGCAGGACAGTGCTTGGGGCCAGCAAGAGCTACACTGTGAGGACCCCGATTTCAACGTAGGTGCTACAGGCCAGGGAGGGGGTCTGAGGAGGGTCTCAGGGCCCCAAAGGCCCCAAGCGACTGACCTGACCTGCATGTCCCAACAGATGGATGCAGACTATGACCCCAGCCAGCCACGGAGGAAGAAGCGCGAGGCCCCCTCAACGGGCAAGAAGAAGCGCAAGTCACCTTTTGCCATAGCCGTGGGGCAGGAAAAGCCGGTGTTTGACCCTGGTGAGGCCTGAGTGGGTGGGCAGTGTGCAGGCAGGGCTCCACAGGGCCTGGCACACCCCAGCAGCCTGGCTGTCTCCCTGGGCAGGAGACAGGACGTTCGAGGATTACCTGGACGAGTATTACCGGCTGGACTATGAGGACATCATCGATGACCTGCCCTGTCGCTTCAAGTACCGCACCGTAGTGCCCTGCGACTTTGGGCTCAGCACTGAGGAGGTCGGGGCCCAGGGCAGGCGGGGGGAGCATCCAGCATGCAAAAGGGAGCATATCTCCATTACCCAGAGATGCTATGACACAGCCCATTTCCCCATTTTGAAAATGATAGTAACAGTAGCACTACTAATAATACTGATACTACCTGCTTCAAAGGGTTTCTGTGCAGTGAGGGCTTAAAACAGTGCCTTGCCCCCCCCCAGTAAATATTATTTCTAGTTGTATTATTGTGTATCAGTGTAAGGGTAGTGTGTAAGACTCAGGCTCTGAAGCCTGATGGTCTGGGTTCAAATCCTGGCTCGGCCGCTCCCCAGATGTGTGACCTGGGACAAGTGATTTAACCCTGTGCCTCAGTTTCCCCATCTGTAAAACGGGCGTAATAGCAGTCCCCACCTCATGGGTGTGGCCTTTTGAAGGGTGCCTGCCGGTCATGAGCGCCCACTGTACTTCAGCGATGGATGGCTGTGTTTGGCTGTTAATGGTCAGTAAAATTAGCTGACATTTATCACGCTTATACCATCTGCATTCACTCACTCAATCCTCCCGATGACCTTCCAGTAGGTTCTGAGGGGATACCCAACTCATAAACAAGGAAACGGAGGTCTGGAGGAAGCTGCTGGTTGAAGGCTGTCTGCCCGTGGGTTGGTGGCAGCCCTGAAGTTGGGAACCTGGGCCTCACCTATAATTAGCACACCTGGTCACTAGCACGGAGACCCCTGCCCTGTATGAGGCTGCTTGGACGGTGGTGCACGGGTGAACGTTCCAGGGCCCCTAGGCCTGAACTGGAATATGAAATTGGCTACTTCCTGGCCATGCGATCTGGGATGATGGTCCCCTCTCAGCCTCAGTTTCCCCATTTGATGCCCCCCACCAAAAAAAAATAAAGGCGCGGCTACCTCAGAAACCAGTTCTCCCCGCCATCACGATGGCCATACTAGCTGGTACTAGCACTCCCGTTTTGACCGATGGGGCACTCGAGGCTGAGAGGGTCAGGGGTCCCCAGGCTCATGTAGATGCCCCCCCACCCCGCCTTCTCATGCAGATCCTGGCAGCCGATGACAAGGAGCTGAACCGGTGGTGCTCCCTGAAGAAGACCTGCATGTACAGGTGATGGGACTGGGTGGGGCCAGGAGGAGGGGCTGGTGGGCACAAACACCTCCCAGATCGAGCAGCCAGACAGGCCTGTCTGCTGGGTGTCCTCAGGTCGGAGCAGGAAGAGCTGCAGGACAAGAGGACGTACAGCCAGAAAGCCCAGAACTCATGGAAGAAGAGGCAGATCTTCAAGTCACTCTGCTCAGAGGAGTGAGTGTCACCGGTAGGGGGAGGTGGGCTCAGGAGCCCCCAGGCCTGGAAACAAGGCTTCCCCACTGAGACCTAGGTTCAAATCTTGGTGGGGCCATAGCTGTATGACCTTGGGCAAGTCAATTCTCAGATTCCTCATCTATAAAATGGGGATAAAGGTGGCTCCCATCTTACTTGGTTGTCTGAGAACTAAATGAGTTAACTGGTGTAAAGTTACACAGAGTTAAAGCACAGTAAATGTCCTATAGGTGCTATTAACTATCGTTATCATGATCATTATTTCCCATTCTACAAAAGCTCCACAGTTGATTTTAAACTAAAATGGGTTCATTTATGGGACAGCTTAGTGGAGCCCAGGCACAAATACAAGAATTACCAGCATCCCAGTCACAGCATCACCACTGGCTTTGGTGTCAGACCTGGGTTTGAATCCCAGGCAGGCTCTTCCATCCTGTGTTGCTGCCTCTCTGAGCTTCATTTTTCTTCACCTGTACAATGGGGGGGGTGTGATTGGGAATGGTCTCATTGTGACTAGCTTGGGCTGAACCCTGTCTTTTCTCTCCCAGGATGGAGATGCCCACGGAAGCCACAGGGAAGCCACAGAGAGACAAAGCTGGCCCGCAGGAGCAGCTGCCAGTGCCTGATGGGGCCCATGGGAAACGGCTTCAACCTGAGAGCCCCCTAGCACAGGAAGAGGTGGCTCCTGTATCAGCCCCTGAGAAGCCAGCCCCCCCGAAGCGGAGGCGGGGCAAGAAGGCACGTCTCCTGGGTCCCACGGTGACACTTGGAGGGCATGAGTTCAGCCGCCAGAGACTGCAGGCTTTTGGCCTCAACCCCAAACGGCTGCACTTCCGCCAGCTGGGCCGGCAACGGAGGAAGCAGCGAGAGCCCAAGAGCAGCCCCTGAGCCTGGTGAGGGTGGGCAGGCAGGCAGGGCCCCCAGGGAGCCTCCCCTCAAATCAAGCCCCTGCAGTTACCCCCTTTCTGCTGACAAGGACATCCAGTCTGCTATATAAAACCTCACGGTTATCCATGGGCAAGGGAGTCTTCCCATCTTACAGATGTAGAACAGGCTGACTTCTTAACAAGTATCCCACTTTGAGACACACCCTGGAGCCGATCCCTCAAACACTGAGCCTGGCCACAGCCCACCACATTCAAGTCAAATAGCTTTATTAGCCCCCAGAGGCCACAGTCCCCCCACCTCCCAGCTCTTGGCAGGATGGGGGCTTTAGTACCAGTAAGGGATGCGGGCAGTCCAGTGCCAACTACAGTACTTGAATCAGGCCCTGAGTGGGTGCCCGGGAGCCTCCCTCCTTCCCTGTGAGGAGGGGCTGGCTGGTGGGGGGCAGGCCTATGGGCTCTGCCCCTTAGCTAAACAGCCCTAGCCCGGCCGTTTCCTGGACTGGTCTCAGCTTGCTGAGGTGAGGACGCCCCATCACCACCAGAGTTCACGCTCCCACACCCAGCATGATATAAATAAAAAAATAAAGTGTCGCATCTTCTCCCCCTTTCCCTCCTCTTATAAAAACACAAAGTCCTCAGAGCTTGGGCGTTTGGCCTTGAGGAGCCGCCCTGAGCGAGGCAGCCTAAGCGTTGGCTGTGAGAACTGGGAGCAGAGGTCATCCAGGCTGTGGTCCTGAGCGTGGCCCTCGGCCAGGGTGAACATGGGATACCTCTCTGTGGCTGAGGAAGAGCTGAGGACCTGGTGGGAGGGAGAGCATGGTGGCTCAGCCTCAAACATAACTATACCGTAATAACGCTAATAGTTATGTTTGTGAAGCATGCATGTGGACTCACCAGTTAGTCCCAATCTTCCCTTAGACCCAACCCTCTGGAGCAGTGACCCAGGCTAGCCAGCCAGCACCTTCCATCCTGACCACAGTGATTGGCTCAGTAATGAGAATGTGACCCAAGCCAACCAATGAATGGCAGCCCTGGGAGTTTTTGCTGCAGTTACTGAACAAGTAGGGCTCCCTTTCTACCGAGCTGGAAGGATAGCTGTCCAGAGGAGCTGGCAGCTGTCTCTGCCACTACAAGGATGAAGCTCAGATAGGACAGTAGAGCAAAGAGACAGCAAGGGGTCCCACTACCTGAGCCCCTGGATGTAGCTGTACCCTAAGACAGCAGTGCCCCCAAAGTTTGCAGTTACATGCCCCCCTTTTGGTCCAATTACAGCTGGGATTCTGAGGCTTGCAGGCAGGACAACCCTGACAGGAATAATCTGCCTTGGCATCCCCGTGGGCTTCAGAAATGGGGATTAGATCACTTTCCAGATTAGCACAGGGACTCAGAGCCCCAGGTCTGCTGGACTCCAGGCTTCTGTTCCTCTCCCCTAGTCCTGCCCTTTGCCCCCACCCTACACCTCTCTTGCTCACCCTGGTCAGCTCCGAGCAGAGTGTCTCAAACTCCTTCCTGTCTCCAGCATAGAACCCCACGGTACAGCTTGGGTCCATCTTGGCAAAGGCCATCTTGCGGGGTGACGTGCAATGGAAGGACTGGGGCAGATAGACAAGGGAGGCTCAGGGCACCCCAGCTCTCCCCATGCCCCTAACCCCAACCCAGGATCCCAGCTTACCTCCAGGGGGAAGTCGGCCTGGCTGATGTCCACGCTGGGCTGACAGTAGTGTGGGTCCAGGTAGAGTAGGAAGTCATCTGCGGGGGTGGGGGGGAGGTGTGAGTGGGGATGAGGAGGGGGAAGATAGGGTGGGACAGGGCGGGGCCTACCCTGGTAGCCGATGAAGTACAGCGAGTGTCGTGGCTTGCCCCCCATGATGCCCAGGCACAGCTCTGAACTCAGGAGCTCCTGCAGGGAGGACAGTGGGCAAAGGCTGAGGATTCTGGGCAGATGCTGTCAGGCAGTCACTCAACAAACGCTAAGCAAGCACCTACTGTGTGCCAGCCCCTGGGCCCTGGAGGGCAGCAGTGACCAAGATGGACAGAACCCCTGCCCTCATGGAGCTGACATTCCAGCATGGACAAGGAGCAAGATGAGTGAGTTATCTTGTGTGTCAGAAGTAGATAACACTGGGGAGAAAAACAAAGCAGACAACGGGGAACCAGTGTCCCAGGGATGGGACGCAGGAAAGGCCTCAGGTGACATTTGAGCAAATACCTGAAGGAGGTAAGAAACAGCCCCATGCATATCTAGGAAAAGTGCTCCAAACAGGGAATAGCAAGTGCAAAGTCCCTGAAGCAGGAGTGTTCTGAGAACAGCAAGGAGACCAGCATGGCTGGAACAGAATGAGTGTGGGGGACAGTGGGGAATATGAGGCCAACGAGGTGACGGGGGTAGATGTGCAGAAATTTGTGGGCTGTGGGGAGAGCTTTAGCTTTTATTCTGAAGGCAAACACTCTGGGATGTTCTCAGCCTCAGGGCCTTGGCCCTTGCTGTTTGCCTCATTTGCATCTTGGCTGGAGAGGGGCTTTCCTAGGCTATACAGCCACCTCCCATCTGCCCTTCCCTGTTAGAGTCCAAGTTGTAATGCTACAGCTGCCAATCGGTTTCATCACTTCTGTCATTCCCCCAACAGAATGTCTGCTCCTAGTGGGCAGGGATGTCTACCTGTTCTGTTCACCACTGTCTCCCCAGCACCCAGGACAGCGCATGGCACACAGCAGGTGTTCCACAGCTATTGAATTAACAGATGATGGGATTGACAGATGTATAAAGTGGCCCTAACCCTAACTGAAAATGTACAGAGGGCTCCCGGGTGGAGGCGACATGGAACCTATCTGCACCTACCTTCACGCAGGGCACATACACGGGGTTGAGTGTCTCGCCACCCAGCCGCACAGGCACCAGGATGACCACAGACTTCCACTCAGCTGTGGGGTCTGGCCTGGCCACCAGGCGTGCCACATCTGCCTTGTACACTGGAGGGACAGGAGAGAAGGTCACCTCGCCCACCCTTCAAGCCCAGAGTGGTGCCCTTAACCCCTGGAGGCCCAACCTCTCCCATGCAGGCAACACCGCTGCTCTCAGCAGAAAAGGACATCTTTCCAAAAAATTCCCTCAGACAATCCAGGTAACTCCAGGCAGCTGTGGACATCCCCATTTTAGAGACAAGGCAACCGAGGCCCTGGAATTTAGGCCAAAAGCATAAAGCCAAGAAGAGGCAGAGACCCTCCCCCTCAACCCCAGGCCTGACTCGTCCAGTAACTCAGCATCTTAGTTTGCCAAAATGGAAATGGTAGCACTGAGCCACCTGCCCCAAACTGAACGTCCTCGTGTGTGTCCCTCCTCCTCAAGGTCCACTGTCTGCTGGTCTCCATACTCCCGCCTCCTCCCTTGCTGCCTGCCTAAGCCCCTTTCCTGGTTGCAGAGACGTGGATTCAACCCTTTTGGGGCACTCTTTGAAAAGTGAATCTTGTCCCAGACACCGACAATTTTGCCTACAATTTTATAGGCTTTGTAGATTCCCAGATAACAATCCATACTCCCGTTGCCATCGAGTCGATTTTGACTCATAGCAACCCTACAGGATAGAGTAGAACTGCCCCACAGATCTCCAAGGCTGTGGTCTTCAGGGAAGTAGACTGCCACATCTTTCTCCATTGGGGTTGAAACTTCTGACCTTTCAGTCAGCAGCTGAATGCTTAACCACGGGGCCCCCAGGGCTTGCCTGAGGGAGAGTAGCAGAAATAGTAACCACAGCTGACACGTGCACTTACTATGTGATAAGCACTGCTCTAAGGGTTTTACTTGTATCATGGGCTTATTTAACCCTCAGGACAACCACATGAAGTGGTGGCACCCACTCTTCTGTCCATGTTAGATGTGTTGGTAGAGGAAGACTGAGTGGGACCTGGGAGAATGTGTCATCTACTCTATCACTCGGGGAGAAGCCCCTTAAGTCTCCTCTCCCGGGAAGCAGAGGGAAGAGACCCTCGACACACCCCACTGGGCAACCATGAATCCTTTCTGAGTGTCCCTCTGCCCTAGAATTTGTTTCAGCCTCTGAGGCAGCGACTGCGTCAGGGTGAGACCCCCAGGAGCCTGCTTCCCAGCCCCTTACCTGTGCAGTCCTGAGAAACATACACCATGAGGCGGGTGACCTCTGAGCAGCTCTCCACGGCTTTCCTGGGGGTGGGAGGGGAGGCCTGAGTTCCTGGGGGTACCCAGTCACTCCCGTGTTCCCTGCAGCAGCCCTCACCTGAGGATGTGTGCGACCAGCGATGGTCCGTACCAGTCACCCGCCTTCTTGCCTGAGCTCTGCCCGAGCTCCACCAGCCGGTGTAGACCAAAGGGGGCCCGGGGGTGGTCGGCAAACCAGGACACAATCTGCCGGTGCCAGTGCTCCTGCTCCAGCTCTGGGGTGCCCTGGGCCCAGCGTGGGGGCACCCGGCGGGCAGGGCCATGGTACCGGCTGGGAGAGGCCGACCCCAACAGCTCAGGGGGGCCCAGGCCCGGGCCCTCGGCCCATGTCCAGTCTGGTTGGAGTGGGGACACAGTCAAACAGTGCCAGGGTGTGTTGGGGGCACAGTTCCCATCTACTCACTTCTGGATCCCCATATTTAACTATAATTCTCACATTCCTGAAAACTGCCTTTATAAACACAACTCTCACTCCCTCCAAACTTTAGTCTGCACCCAATTCTAATGGGACTTCAAACCTGTAGTTCACCACCAATTCTAACACCCCTGACATGCGTAGTGGGCGCTGCACTCCTGGCGACCCCTCCCTCCCCTGGCACTGCTCACCTCTGGGCAGAAAGTGCAGGAGCAGGCCCTGTGCCAGCATCATCTGCCCGCTGCGTAACATGCACCCCCAGCCGCAGTCCGAGGTCAGGCAGCCCCCAGCGAGTGGCGGGAAGTCCCGACGGTACGTGAGCCACAGGCGGGACATGAAGTCCCGCTGGAAACGCTGGATGTCACCTATGAGAGCCAGCCTGTCAACTGCAGCCAGGGATACCCCTGGAGGCCTCCCCCAACTCTAGCCCCAGCCACCAGCTCACCCTCGCTCTCAAAGCAGTAGCGGTGGCCACAGAGGTAGATGCTGGAGATCTTGCTAAAGCTGGTCCGGCTTTTGACGGCCCAACCTGGGGAGACATGGGGCAGTGACCAGCGAGATGACACATTTGCTTGACAGACACGCAACGTAAGTTATGACAGCCACAGCGCGTCCATTCCCCTGTCTGGGATATGGAGACGATCCCAGTTTCTATCTCAGGGATGGCTCTGGGGAATCTGTGCAATATTCGTCTTAGGCAAAGGCCTGGCCCCTGGTAACAGCCACATGAGTGTCCGTTATTAATCCTAGATGAATTAAAGCCATTGGTTTTATTGTACCCATTTTACAGGGGGAAAAAAATGGAGGCACAAGGAAGCAAAGGAGCTTGCCCAAGGCCACAAGGGGAATCGGAGGTGACTTGAAAATACATTCCCTGTTTCGACTTGCCACAGATCCGCCCTGGGCTAGGCAGGGCGGGGCACCCACAGGTGACTCACGGGAGAAAAAATGATGTTATAACTGGCTGGATCTCCTGGACCCCCACCCATCCCTAAACCCGCTGTCTGGCTGAACCGTCGGCTTTCTCCCACCTCAGAGCCCAGCCCTCAGGCCGGGCCCGTCCAAAGCCTCCCCGACTCCCCCTCCTTACCGTACTTGACGTTGTTCCAGGCCGTCAGGAACTTCGCCTTAAACTTGTCCACCTCGTCCGGCTCCCCGGGGGCAGTCCCGGGCGAGCCAAGGGCGGAGGCGCTGGCTCCGGAGGGCCCCAGGCCGTTGGGGTCCGGGAGTCGGGGGCCCCGCGGCCTGCGGCCCTCGGGACGGCGCGCATCCTCCGGGCTCCTGCTCCGGTATTGCGCGGCGGCCGGAGACACCGAGTTCATGGACGCGCCGGGAGGGCGGACAGAGGCCCAGGTGGGGGCTGCGGCCGCCACTCCCACCCTGCCAGCCGCGCATCAGGGCTCCTCGCCGAGGCGGGGGCCACGGCAGGCGCTACACCGCCCGCGACCCGGCTGCCAGGTGCCCAGCCCCGGCCCGGGACGCTGTCTCTGTCGCCGCCATTTGAGCGGCCAAAACTCCCGGATGGAGGTGGGCGTGGCAAGGCACACGCCCCGCCCCGGCCCCCAGCGGGGGTCCCTTTCTCCCGGTCCGAGGTCGTCCGCTGGGGCGTAAGCCTCGGTGCTTTCCTGCGGCACCTCAGCGTCCCCCTTGCCGGTCCAGCCTTATCACTCCGCCCAGGCGTGCCGCCGGAGCCCCTGCGGGCCCCTATCTGAGGCCTCAGAGGCCGGAAGGCCCCGCCCCGGGCCCCACCCCTGAAACTGCGCCCGCCTGCGTGCTGAGACAGACTGACCAGGCGGGCCCGGGCTGGGTTTGCACCGGGCTGGGTTTGCACCTGCCTGCGTCGGCCCGGTGCAATACCAGGCGTCCCCGGCAGGGGTGCGCGCGGCTGGACCAGGGCGCCCCTCGCGGGCTAGCCACCCAGACAGCCCGTTTCGGTCGGGGTCCAAGTCCTGGTGGCGCCATTCTCAGCTGTGTGACCCTGGGAAAACCACGCTCCTCTGTGCCTCAGTTTTTTTGTTTTTTAATTTTTTTTTTGTGGTTGTACTTTAAGTGAAAGTTTCAAGTTAGTCTCATACAAAAATTTATACACACATTGTTATGTGACCCTAATTGCTCTCCCCATACTGTGACAACACACTCCTCCTTTCCACCCCTGATTTCCCGTGTCCATTCAACCAGCTCCTGACTCTCTCTGCCTTCTCATCTCACCTCTGGACAGGAGCAGACCATTTAGTCTCATGTATCTACTTGAGCTAAGAAGCACACTCGTCACGAGTATCAATTTATGTCCCATAGTCCCGTCTAATCTTTGTCTGAAAAGCTGTGTGCCTCAGTTTTCTCATGTGAAAAATGGGGCCCAAACACACACAGCAGCATGGATGAATCTCATAATTATGTCGAGGGAAAGAAGCCAGACAAAAAACAGCATATACTGTAACGGATCCATTTATATAAAACTCTGGAAACTGCACGAGGAAACTTGTGGGGGTGGTGGATATGTGTAGTATCTTGAATTGTGGTGGTTTACCGGATGTGAAAACTCATCCAATTGTACACTTTAAATGTGTGTGGTTTATTGTATGTCAATTATACCTCAACAAAGCTATAAAACATTTTAAATGCATCTAACTCATAGGGATGCCAGGAGGATAAGCTGAGTTCATGGGTGTAAAGCACTTAGGGTGGCATTTGAGGCACAGTTTGGCTGTTGTGGAGTACGCCCCGACTCCTGGCAACCCCATGTATTATAGAGTAGAACAGCTCCGTAGGGTTTTCTTCGCTGTGATCTTTGTGGAGGAATCTCTGTGTGGCGCGGGCAGTTAAGCTCTCGACTATGAGCCGAAAGGTTGGTGGTTTGAACACACCCAGAGGTGCCTCGGAAGACAGTCCTGGTGATCTGCTTCCAAAAGGTCACAGCCTTGAAAACCCTATGGAGTGGTCCTACTCTATACACATGGGGTCGCCATGAATCGGAACTGAAGACAATTAACAACAATAACACAGTCTTGACGGAAGCGGTTTGCCCAGGCCTTTCTTCCGAGGAGTGCTGGGTGGGTTTAAACCACCAGCCTTTAGGTCAGCGGCATATCGACAACTGCTTGCACCACCCAAGCTCCTTGAGACACGGTTACGGTTCACCAAAAGCTAACTATGACCTCATAGACCTGATGACTAAGTAAGGACACTGTGAAGAACAAGGAGGGTGGTCTCTTGTGGCCAGTCCACACACGGGCTCTGTCCGCAGCCTGCTGAAGGAAGTCGATGACGATCTGGATGAGGGTTTGGGTTGTGCAAAGGGTTAATACTTAGCAGCCAACCAAAAGGTTGGAGGTTCAATCCACCTAGAGGTGCCTCAGAAAAAAGGCCTGGCTATCCACTTCGGAAAAATCAGCCACTGAAGACTCAATGCATAGTTCTACTTTAACACACATGGGGTCGCCATGAGTTGGAATCAACTGGACAGCATCTGGTTTGGTTTTTGGTTTGGTGGGTTGTGAAGAAGTCACCAAAGGACAGAGAATGACGCTGGAAGCTCTACGAAGGCCCCATGCTCAATGGCTGGTCACCTCCCTGATTTTACCTTGCTCACTCCCAACCAGTCACATTGTTCTCCTTTCTCAAACTTACCAGGCACAGTCCTGCCTCAGGGTTTTTGCACTTGCCGTTTCCTCTGTCTGCCTAGAACAGACATTCAGATAGCCACATGACTCTCCCTCATATGTGGTCTGGCCTGCAGTTGGGGCTTCATGAACAACTTGCTAAATGGAAGGAGAACTTGGGAGGGCCCCCAGGACAGCTTCTGGGGCTCAAGGGGACACGGGACTCTGGAAGGCCTCAGTTGTGACTACATGGAGGAAAAGGTGCCAAAGGAAATCCACCCACGAACAAAATCTGGAGCAGCGCTGTCCACTGGGAACATAATGTGATATAATTTTCACTGTTCAAGTAGCCACATTCCAAAAAGTAAAAAGAAATAGGGGAAATTAATTGTAGTAATACATTTATTTAATCAATAAATCCAAAATATTATCATTTCAACACGTAATAAAAAATTAAGCTATTTTATCTTTTTTTTTATACCAAGTCTTCGAAATCCGGTGTGTATTTTATATTTACAACGCATCTGCATTCAGACAGCCATGCTTCAAGTGATCAGTAGTTATATGCAGCCAACGGCTAAAGTACTGGACAGTGCAGATAATATAACCACCACCCAGGTCAAGACATAACACATCCGGGTGCAGCTGGCCCTCCTCGGTCCCCTCCCTCCCCACCTGCAGACAACTTCAGCCTGGGCTGGATAGACCACTTTGAGCCTGCTGTGGGGCTGGAGGACTCTGGGGGCCGGCTTGTTAGCTTATCTCAGTCAGGACTGACTCAGCTCCTCCAACCTCTTCTTTCCCTCCTGCGATCCTCTCTCTTCCTCCTCCTCCTCCCGCAAGGTCCTACCCCTTTAAGCAAACTAGCCTCCAGGCACCCCCACCCCAGGAACTCTCAACCTAATCACCCCAGGCTCCTCTGATACAAAGTGCATGATCTAGAAAGTGCATGAGGAAACTGTGGGGGTGATAGATACTTACTATCGAATTGTAGTGGTTTCATGGGTGTGAAAACTCATCCAACCGCACCCTTTAAATGTGCACATATTTAAGTTGAGCTTAGTACTAGCCTCCACCTTGGATCCCAAATAATAATGATTGTCACAGTTCAGCCTTTTGTCCCCCCAGGTCTCAACTCATCCATCACCTGTTCAGAAAAGCCTGTCCTCACCTCCAGCTTGGCCAGGTTCCCTTTTTATGAGTCCTCAGACTTCTGCTGACCATAAATACAATAATTTCTAATCAACTGTGTCATGGCTAGTTAATCTCTCCCAGTGCCCCCCGTAAGAATATAAGCCCCATGAAGATAAGAGCTACCAGGTTTTCCAGAGCATCTATTGGTCACCTGCAGTGTGCCCACATCAAGGGCAGCAATGCCAGTGAGAGAAAACTAGCCTTCTCTGCCCTTATGCCCCTTGTGTTGGAACAGGATAGATGCAAATGTTTGTTGAGTGACTAAATGAATGATTATGGAAGTTAGGCATCCTCAGAGCCTTACTCAGCAGTTCTGGAGGGTCTCTACATCTAGCTTCCCCGGGGCTCCAGATCAATTCCTTCAGTTTTCCCACCTAGATTCTTCCCCTTGTCCCACTGGCTTTACCTGTCTTAACTCACATATCCCTCAGCACAGCCCTGTGAGGCAAGGACTATAATCACTCCCATTTTGCAGACAGGGAAAATAGAGGCTCAGTTCAGTAAAAGAATTTGTCCAAGGTCATACAGACAGTAAGTAAGACAGTGGCAATCCCTGCAGTCATCATGTGTTTAAAATTCAGAAAGCAATCCAATTAAAAAAAGAGCGAGAGATTTGAACAGAATCTTTGCAAAAGAAGATAAAAAGATGGCAAATAAGCACATGAAAAGGTGTTCAACATTATTATCCGCCAGGGAAACGCAAAATAATGTGACAAGCAGATGCCACCACCAACCCACTAGAATGTCTAGAATTAAAGACTGACCTTATCAAGTGTTGGTGAAGATGTGGAGGAACTGGAACATTTTAAATATGTGCAGGGATGAGTTACCCAATAAGCAAGGTATGCAGGGCTTACTTGTGCTTACTTACTAATCTGTAGTGCACAATTCCACCTGTTTTTCACCACATCTGTGAAACCCATGTGAAATTGTGCACTACAGATTAATAAGTAAACACAATTAAGCCCATGCGTACCTTGTTTACTGGTTAATCAGCCCCTGAATATGTGCAGCTTATTGCATGTTAATTATACTGCTATAAAGCTGAAAAAAATCAGTATGTTAGCATTAAGGCACAAACTCAAAATTGCACTTGAGCTGGTGGAATTCTAAAATGGTACAGCCATAGAATTATCATACACCTGTTGCCATCGAGTCAATTCGGACTCACAGTGGCCCTATAGAATAGAGTAGAACTGCCCCATAGGCTTTCCAAGGAGTGGCTGGTGGATTCCAACTGCTGACCTTTCGGTTAGCAGCCGTAGCTTGCCGTAGCTCTTAACCACTGCCTCAGGTCCAGCAATTTCACTCCTATGTATACACTCAAAAGAATTGAAAACAGGAAAGCAAACAGATACTTGCACATCATGTTCATTGTCACACTATTCCTAATAGTCAAAACATTGAAACAGCCTAAATGTCCATCTACAGATGAATGGGTAAATAAAATGTGGTATATTCATACAATGGAATATTATGCAGCTGTAAAGATAAACAAAGTTCTGATACATGCTACAACATGAATGAACCTTGAAAACATTATGCTGAGTGAAATAAACCCATCACAAAAGGACAAATATTGCATAATCCCATTCATATGAAATATCTAGAATAAACAAGTATACACCAAAACCAAACCTGTTGTCATAGAGTTGATTTCGACTCATAGTGACCCTAGAGGACAGAATAGAACTGTCCCATAGGGTTTCTAAGGCTGTAATCCTTATGGAAGCAGACGGCCACATCTTTCTCCTATGGAGCAGCTGGTGGGTTCAAACTGCTGAGCTGTGCAGCCGAGCACTTAACCACTGCGCTACCAGGGCTCCTCTGGCAAGTGTACAGAGATCAGAATTTACTAGTGGTTACCAGGGATGTGCGGGAGGGAGGGGG